AACATTGTTGAGGGTGAAATCCACGCGGTCCAATACGACACCGTTTTCCTGCAAAGAAGAAAGTAGAAGATCGATAAATCTTGACGGCACCGGTGTGGTGCCTGCCAAGAGCTCTTCGACGATCAAGTCAGTCACCAGATATCTAAAAGAAAGACAGTGATTTAATACTAGTTTTTTTGTCATACCTTTATTGACTGGTAGGATCTCATTCTTATAGCCGCTTTCCCTTAGTTCATTTGCGAGAACAGAGGAGATCGTTTGTTGCCAGATTTACCGGGGATATGATTTACTCCTTTGACTTTCTCAAATTATGCCAAGGTTATCCTTACCTTGTTGAACCATGTCGTCTTTCATTATCCTGGATAAGAAATGTCATCATTCTTATCCGATGAAAATCTTTATATTTGATAACGAAATATTTCGAAAGTCGAAGAGATCTAGCGGCTGGTCAACACTTAATTACCTCTATCGTTAGGTCAAGGTAGGTTATGTTTATTTTTCCCTATCAGTTGCCCCCCATTCCCAATCTTGCTCGTCTAACTTTAGGAATGTAATTTTTTTTTTTTCTTGCCCTGGGAAAAGTTCCCGCGGGTACTGTTCACATGAACAGTTTTTTTTTTTTGGTACCCTCGAGAACTCTTTCCTTGGGCAATCTTCTCTTGGGTACTATTCCCAATGGTGGAATTAATACATATATCAAATCAAGGTTCTGTTTTAGAAGGGCATGGAATTAAACCCATGGTCAATGACTCTTAGTGATGTAAAACTGGATTTTTCTTTTGAAAATCCAATATACTATTTATGAACTTTATTGGTTTCAGTCAACCCATCCCTTTGGCAAGGGAATAAATTTTACAAACTGCACTCAGCTCGTCGTCCCTTTAATAAGAGAGTTAGTTTTTACGAGTTTCACTCAGCTCGTCCCTTTAGTACAGGACACTTATTTACTATCCCTTATAGTACGGGGATATTGATTACGGAATTCATTTAGCCCGAGTCCTTTTAGTACAGGACATTTATTTACTATCCCTAATAGTACGGGAATATTGATTACGAGATTCATTCAGCTTGGGTCCTTATAATACATGACATTTATTTACTATCCCTTATAGTACGGGAATATTAATTACGGGATTCATTTAGCTCGGGACCTTTTAGTACAGGACATTTATTTACTATCCCTTATAGTACGGGAATATTAATTACGGGATGCATTTAGCCCAGGTCCTTTTAGTACAGGATATTTATTTACTATCCCTTATAGTACGGGGATATTGATTACCAGATTCATTCAGTTCGGGTCCTTTTAGTACATGACATTTATTTACTATCCCTTATAGTACGGGGATATTGATTATGGGATTCATTCAGTCTGAGTCTATCCCTTATACTACGGGAATATTGATTATGAGATTCATTTAGCCCTGGTCCTTATAATACAGAACACTCATTATCATCCCTTGTAATACGGGGATATTGCAAGTATAAAGATAACTGATCAAGAGTTAATGCAACTGAAAGGAATTTTATTAAAGACCATTATTGCCTCAAGGCTTATTGAAAACAAAATAACACGTGAGGGAGCTACCCTTCATTTAAAATGATTAACTAAGATGCCCCCGGTCTTTATTTTGAATGACTTGATAAGGATAATTCCAGCTGTGAGACAATTGTTAGTTGGTATACTTATTTAAGTCCTCCTCATCGCTTTGGCTGAAGAATGATATCTTATAGCTAGTAACCTTTTCATCCCTGGTGAGAGGGGCTAACTTCTTCTTATCCTCTTCTTCCTTTCCCTTCCCTGCATTCATAGCGTCTTCAGCGTTCATGTGTTTCTGCGCTTTGATCAACAACTCTGCCATGCTGGTGGGAGTTTCTTTAGATAAGGCGAACAAGAATCTAGAGGTTTGGAGTCCTCCTATGAAAGCGGTCAAAGCCACCTTATCGTCCACCTCTTTTACCTGCAACATCTCTGTGTTGAATCGGGTGATGTATTTCCGGACTCTCCCTTCTGTTACTTCACGGTAAGCAGGTAGGTGGCCGGCCTTCTATGCCTTTGACCTATAATAAAGTGGCTCACAAATTGCTTACTCAGTTTTTCGAAGGTGTTGATGGTTCCTAGCTTCAGCTTATTGAACCAAACTCTTGCTGATCCCTTAAGTGTAGTGGGAAAAGCTTAGCACATGATTTCATCTGGCACGGCGTGTAAATGCATAAGATCTTGAAAGGTCTCCAGGTGATCGAGGGGATCTTTGGTCCCATCGAAACTTTTGAACGAAGGCATCCTAAACTTGCTAGGCAGGGGGCATTTCATAACGGCGGGGCTGAATGGCAAGTTAGTCCTTTGCACCAGGTCATCTATGGCTGCAGGACCTTTCCCTTTCATAGCCCGCATTACATCTTCCATTTTCGCCTTGAGATTCTTGATCTGTAGGTCGAAATAGGTAACTTTCTCTGTCTTTTCCTTGACACAGAAGGTTGTGCCTATTTGAGACTGCGAATTCCGTGAAGGCGGGGAAGGATGTTCTCTGTGTCGGTTTCTGACTTGGCTTTGTTCTGCCTCGAACTTGTGAGAAGGATTGTTTTCTTGGTCTTCCTCGTGTTGTCCCCCATCATTCAGATTGGGAGGATATGGGTCGGACAATTCTTGTTGAGGTAGTGGTCCCGCTGGGATAATATGTTGCAGGATCTCTGTATTTTGTTGGATCAACTAGTTCATACCCTGATTTAGAGTTTGGACCTGTAGTTCTAACGCTATAAGCCGTTCCTGGTCATTTGGGACATCTGGGTGTTCACCCGACCCTTCTCTTTAACTGTATCCCTGCAACGATGTTTCTGTTCCAGTTACCATACCGGACTGCAAGTGCATATACCCAACCGAGTAATTGATTTAAGGGAATCGTCGTTTCCCACAGACGGCGCCAACTGTTGAGGGTGAAATTCACGCGGTCCAATACGACACCGTTTTCCTGCAAAGAAGAAAGTAGAAGATCGATGAATCTTGACGACATCGGTGTGGTGCCTGCCAAGAGCTCTCCGACGATCAAGTCAGTCACCAGAGGTCTAAAAGAAAGGCAGATATTTAATAATAGTTTTTTGTTGTACCTTTATTGACTGGTAGGATCTCATTCTTATAGTCGCTTTCCCTTAGTTTATTTGCGATATCAGAAGAGATCGTTTGTTGCCAGATTTGCCGAGATATGATTTATTCCTTTGACTTTCTCAAATTGTGCCAAGGTTATCCTTAGCCTGTTGAACTATGTCGTCTTTCATTATCCTGGATAAGAAATATCATCATTCTTATCCGATGTAAGTCTTTATCTTTGATAACGAAATATTTCGAAAGTCGAAGAGATCTGACGGCTGGTCAATACTTAATTGCCTCTATCATTAGGTCAAGGTATGTTAGGTTTATTTTTTCCTATCAAACATATTTCTAGAACAACCATTATAAATGATACAATTAAGTTTTAATAAACAAAAACAACAATTGAAATCTTTTTTCAAAAATTTTGAGGGTAATTTCAATATCCTCAGACTTGTGGGAATTTAGGCAACATTTAGGTTATATGTCATTAACTGCACACTAAATAGATTCTGGGTAGAATTTGAATAAAAGAATAATATCGTTTAAAATGATTGAGACCCCACATAATGGTCCTATTATATCTAATGCTTTACTTAGTGAAATAAGAGAATGAGACGTAACAAATAAATTTTTTTCACTAGTATTAGATAATGCTACCTATAATGATATAGTCACGCTTAATTCTAAAATTACTCTGCCTCTCCGAGGAAAACTTTTTTCTATTCGATGTTGTGCACATATACTAAATTTAATTGTAAAGGATGGATTGTTTATACTTTCTTCTTCTGTTCAAAAGATAAGAAATGTAATTCGAAACTTTTCTTCTTCTCCAGCAAGATGTCAAAAATTTAGAGTGTTGTACGGACACAAATTTGAGACCCATACGTGTTAATATAGATTGCTCATGGTGGAATTCAACTTATGAGATGTTATTTTCATGTCTAAAATGCAAATTTGATATTGACTTGTATTGCCTTGAATCTATTAAAGCTAATCGGTATTGTTCCATTGAAATGTTATCATGTGAAAATTGGGATATTATATCAATTGTTGCACAATTCTTTAAAGTTTTTCACGAATCAACAAAAATTTTTTGTTGTGTGTATTATCCAACATCTTCTCGGGTGCTTTTGCAATTAGTTGAGATTGTTTTCAAATTTAAAGATTGTTCAGATTTGGAAAATTTTCAACCTTGTTTAATCAAAATGAAAGAAAAATTTGATAAATATTATTATTATTATTTTTAACTTAAAGTAAAATAATAATATTTTAAAATTCTATTAAGCCTACGTGACTTAGAACATTACCATTGATGAATTAAAATGATGGTGTCATCACATACATTGATGAATAAGTTTGGCTTACCATTATGTTTTTAAGTAAAATTTTTTAATGAGATTACTTTCCGAAAAAATATTCTTTACTGAGATAGCAATCAATTTAAACTCGACATTTATTAATCTGACAGCCTCATCAATGCTATTTAATTGATCATTCAAGCAAGATGGAGCAGTATTGAATCATTTGATAGCATTTTCTGTTTGTATTTTTTTCTTTTCTACAGCAGCAGACACCCCACGGTAGTGAAACCAATTAGTTTTTATTTCTTTTTTGTTTGGTTTTGTGACCCCTTTAAAGCCTGTATTTTGGCCCGTTCTAAGCCCGTAACCCGGCCCGTTTGAAGCCCGCAACCCGTCATCCAATACCAAGGGCCAGGCTTGGGCTTCCTAAAATTCATTTAGGCCAGGACAGGCCCGTTAAAATCAAAGCCCGCGGTCTCGGTCCTGGGCTCCCAAGACCGCGGGCCGGGGTTATGCACACTTTACCCCTAATATGCACACTCTTTGGATAAATTTTTTAGGAGTGTAGAATTTAAGTTCTTAAATGAAGTGATTTCCCATTAAATCGACGACGTTTTTGGTCGCTTAGCGCACACGTCGAACTCGAATCAGATCAGAAGTTCATTCGTTGATTTCAACTGGTAAAAGGGCTTTTTAACAAGAAAAAAATCAAACATCAACCACCGAAGAAGTCCCTAGTCCACAGAAGAAAGAGATCGATAATTATTGGTTGAAGTTTTTCTCAGCATCCAAACACACTGCTAAAGTTAAATTTCTCTGTCAAATGGAATATAACACGGTGAAGTCGCCAGAAGAAGAAAGAATGTTAGTAACAGAGGATGCACCACCGCAGCAGCCGCCGCCGCCGCCGCCGCCAAAGGAAAGCGGCGTTGGAGGATGGGGCGGTTGGGGTTTCTCCCCTTTCTCAGTTCTTTCAGATCTTCAAAAGGCCGCTACTGTTGCTGCTGAAGAGATCTCTCGCAATGTAAATTCTACTTTATAATAATATGTTTCTTACCATGGCATTTGATATATATATATATATATTTTGTTGTTATTATCGTGTAATTTTTCTTTTGCAATTATGGTTCGTTGATCTGTGGAGACAATGTATGATAATGAAAAGGGGTTTAAATTTAATTTCATCGATTTTTCCATTTTCTAGGACATCAGGATATAAAATGACGGGAATCGACTAAGCTAAATGCCACTTTAGGCTAGTTATAAAATTTTCAAGAAAACAGAATAACATAAAGGATGAGATTCATAATTTAAGAGTAGTGATTTTACAGAATTTTACAGTTCGATATATATATATATATATATATATATATATTTATTAATTTATTTTATTTTTAAAATTTTCCAATCAAAGGGGGAGTTATTTGGGTCAAGAGTAGTAATTTTACTGGAGTTTTATATTTGCAAAATCTTGAATTTCTATATCTATCTTCTTGGTTTTGGTTTCCTAGTAAGTGGTTCAACTACTAATTAACTCTAATGGCCTTTGAATTATGCTTATAATGAATTTATGGCATTTTGATACAAACCTATTGAGTATTTTTCTGGCTCTTCTGCTAATACCTATCTGGGAAAAAATGGGCCTTAATGGCCGATGCATGAAGCACGATCAATTGTAGTTCTTGCGAACTGGGAAAAAAACTTCTTGGCTGGCTGGCACCGTTCATCCCATATTTATAGACATTTAGGGCTATGTAGACTAATATTATTATTATAACAAGTTAATTTGAACTCGTTGAAGGTGACTACATATTTAGTCCATATAAACTCTCATGAAGGTTGCTCTGGACCATTGTCTAGTTGCTTAATGTACTATCTAAAACCTTTCATTTTCTCTTTCTTTTATAAAACCACATTGAGGAACGTCATGTCATGGCAGTATGGGTTGCATGTAAATATTACAATTTCCTATTTTATAATACATCAAAATATTTGGATCTGCATTAATACCATTGCGTCGCTTTATCTACCTTTCAGAAGAATTTATGCGTAGCAATTGTTTTTCTGTGAAAGTTTTGTCTAATTTTATTACCTAATAGGGCTTGCACAGAGTTGGCGACTTTACGTTGGAGGTATTTTAGATGCCACGATAGAATTTGTCCTAGTACCCAGGTAGATTGCTTTCCAAACACATGCACATACTAATATCAATATATGTGTGCATATATATGCATGGGAAAAAGTACCAGCATTGATTCTGAGTGCCAAATAGAACTAACAGGCACACTGTTTGATTACATGCATCATGGTAATCTCTTTTGTCATTGAATTAGAAATTAATTTACGGGGTTCATCATTCAAGCAATCTTAACATATGCATGAACAAATGATTGAACTTTTGGTAAATATATTCTTTTGCAGCATCTTTTTGTGATTGCCTTGCTTTATAACCTGAGGCTATTGGTTCCAATCACTGAATTATTTTTGCCGAAAAATTAGGGTCGGTTTTCCACATTTCATCTTGAGCTTTATGTCTACTTTTTGTGATCATGTGTGTTCTTTAAGCTACTTTTGTGCTTTTGTACCTGAATTTTGTCATTGTACAACATAGAATGGTTAAGTCCCTCCTTCCATTTGACTCTTGGAATGACAAGCCATGCATATTAAGTTCCTTTTTGTAGATTATTACTATCTACATATATGAGAACTGTAGAAAAAGTTTGGATTTGCTGGATTGGTACTTGTTGGATATGTCAGGGGAAACATTGTTTGGTGTGGAAATTGAGATACATGCCAGTTATCACTAGGTTAGAAATGTTATCAAATCTTACTCTGTGTTTTACTTCATTAATTGCCTCATGAGATGATGGAAGCACATGACATTACCTAGCAACATGGTTCTTGATTTTCCAAATATTATATTCTCAATGTTTAGTGATGCACTGCTTATTGCCCTAGATGGATCATTACAATCTTATTGAGTTGTTGTTTCATGGATGCAGGCTGTTGAGGTTGCCAAGACTGCAGCTAAGAGCATTGCAGATGTTCAGAATGGGGTTGAAGACTCAGAATCTTCTAAGGAGGATAGCATGGAAGAATCTGCAACTGAAGGAGCTAATGAAGATGAGAGTGACCAGCGGCGTAAGGCTGCTTTGGAGAAACTGGAAAAAGCTAGTGAGGAGTCATTTCTTGGCCAGGTGAGTCATAATATAGGCATTCAAATTTATTGTTTATGTAATTGATATTTGGAGGTGTATTGTGTTGTTGCTACATAACTTGCTTATGCTTGTCTGTTGTTTAATCATAAAGTTACATAGTTTCTTTAACATATATCTTGCAGATCAGTATCATCAGTTTGCTTGTGTACAATGTGAAGCATGCATCTTCCAATTTTTACCCCCCCCCCCCCTCCTCTCTCTCTCTCTATATATATATATATGATTTGCTTACCTTCTTTCTGGAGACATTGTTACCCTGTGTTTGTCCCGTCTGTCAATCCAGAATGTTGGGAGGGGTGAGCTGGGTGCAACCCTAATGTATCTCTATGTTGGCTACAAACTTTGTCTTTCTGTCTGGCTGTTTGTCTGTGATGTAGATCATATAACACTTTGATACCAACCACTGATATAGATAAGCTCTGATACTAGCATATCGACAAATACAGAGTCGAAGATGCTTAAATACTAGACTGATGTAGAACCAACCAATTGGCGCAGGAGAAAAGTGCTCTGGGACGAACATAAGAAGACGGGACGTGGTTAGAAAAAAAGGTGATGAAAAAACAGACTAATGAGATACGCTATATAGAATATAGAGTGGATAAAGAAAAATGGAGGGGGAAGAGCACAGGGGAGAGATTCTAAAATCTCAATTATATTTAATAATCAATTTTTTATTTTTATTTTGGTTATTGGGTTGGGCAAGTTTGAGCTGATTCAGTCGGTAGTATAGGCTGTTCGGTGTATGCTAGAACTTAGTACTGTTTAGGAGTTGGGCTGAAATGTCAGACTGGCTGTCTGATTCAAACTGAAAAACTGATTGATTCTGTTGGTCAAATTTGGATTTGGGTGAATTGGACCAGGCTAAAAGGGGTGAATGTAGGATGGGCTGTTGGCTTAGATCTGTGTTAAAGTTTTGGTTGGTAAGCTGTATGGCTTGGATATGGATTTTAATTTGAATTAATGTAAACTGAATTTGGGCCTGGGTTATAAAAATAGCCCTTTGTTCCTCCTTTCAACTTCATGATTAATATAGGAGAAGTCCAAGGGTTCCTTTGAGTAATGACAATCGGTCAAATCAAATGTGGGAACAAGAGCAGCGACAACTGATGATGACAAATGACGACAAAGCCATGAGGATGAGAGGTTGGCGAGAAGACGAACGGCGACTGTGGACGAGCAGCCAATGGACTGTGGTGGTTCTCTGGCAGTTAGCTTTTACAATTGTGGTGAAGGAGACTGCTTACCACAGTGTGATGGTGGTGGTTTTGGTTTTATGTTGCCGTTGTGGCTGAGATGGGTTGAGAGTTTTTGGGTTTCTTAGGGTTGTTTTGTCTGTGGTGGTGTTTGGAGGAGATGAAAGCTGCTTGTTGCATTGTTGATAATGACCTGCAAGGCTTGGCGTTGTGTTGTGCTATTGGGTATGGAGGGGTGTTCTCAGAAAAGGGTGGAGGCCTTTTTTATGGGTTTAGGGCTGACATATTTTGGCAGTGAGGAAAAATTGATTGAAGATTGTTGGGGTGCATAATAGGTGATGGTGGGGGCTGGGCAATTGAAGGGTAATTTATGATGGACTGTTGATTGATTTAAAACCGAAGCAGTAACTAATATTTGCTTGGATGAAATTGCTCTGATCAGGATTGTTTTGCTCTGACATGTATGGACTCTGACAGATATGGCAGATCAAACGTTTACTCTATATCATTTCGCTCCGATACCAAACTATTGATTAATTTAAAACCGAAGCAGTAACTAATATTTGCTTGGATGAAATTGCTCTGATCAGGATTGTTTTGCTCTGACATGTATGGGCTCTGACAGATATGGCAGATCAAACGTTTGCTCTAGATCATTTCGCTCCGGTACCAAACTAGTGTAGGATGTATAGTTTTCTGATACCAACGTACTATCTGATGTAGAATCAAAGATGCTCTGGTATCAAACTGATGTAGAACCAATCAATTGGCATAGCTCAGAAATGCTTTGCTTCCAAGTTAATGCAGGACCAGGAAGAAAGTAGGGAATGGGAATAAGAAGATTAGATGAAGATAGTGAAAAGAGGGAGAAAATAGTCGAAAGGGATGTGAAAATAAATGGAAAAGATATGCTAGACAGACTAATGGGAAGAGAAAGTAAGAACAACGGAGGGAGAATAGCACATGAGAGAGTATTCTAAAGCCATGATAAGCTGAATGTTATGGTCCCATAAGAGTCCTTCCTTTTTTTTTTTTGATAAGTAAAGATGTATTAAAAAGCGTTCAAAAGGGGAACGCATTCCTCATAAATAACACAAGACCTAAAAGGGCCTCTAAACTCTCAAAGAGTCCATAAAATCAACAATCTCATCCATAGATTTGCAATTCCTTCCAAAAACCCAACAAAAAAGAGTATTAATAATGGAAAACTTCAACATGCCAATAGGGGTCTCATTTCCTTCAAAAGATCACCTATTTCTTTCAAGCCATAAGCACCACCAGACGTATAAAGGCTCACCCTCGAGAAGTCACGAGCTTGGGCCCCCACTATATAACCTCTCCGAGCCTTTGCCAAACCTCTGGAAGACCTGGGCATAACCATTGGATCCCAAACAAAGTCAGCATCATAACCCAACTGTCCCAAGCTATACTGTTAATTGGTGCTGCCTTTGTAAACGAGATGGTGAGACAGTGGATCATATACTCCTGCATTGTCCAGTGGTTCACGACTGTTGGAATCTTATACTCGGCTTATTTGGTATGCTTTGGGTAATGCCCCGATCTTCTAAGGGACTGATTAATGCATGGAGGGGATGTCGTGTGAGAAGCAGTGTACGCGATTATTGGAGGATAGTTCCACATTGCGTGTGGTGGTACATTTGGAAGGAGAGGAATAGTAGAATGTTCGAAGGGAAGGAGTCGTCCATGGCGACGTTGAAACTTCATATTATTCGCTCTTTTTTTAGTTATGTGAAGAGGAGTTCTTGCTCCTCTTCTGATGACTTAATCATTTTTTTGGATTCTTTGGGTCCTTAGATCCTAGTTCCACTTTTGTATAAGGGACGCATTCCCCTTTTGAACGCCTTTTATTCAATTATTACTTATCAAAAAAAAAAAAAAAAAAAAATACTGTCTCAAGCTATAAGGCAATGCAAAAGAAGATGATCAACAGTTTCCTCATTTCTCAAACACATGCAACGACAATTGACTACAACCTGTCTCCTCCTATTCAGATCATCTTGAGTCAAAATCTTCCCCAGAACAGATGCCCAAGCAAAGGAGGCCACCTTGAGAGGAGCCTTAGAATGCCAAATAGCCTTCCATGGGAATGCATCCCCTGGAACCTCCGTGAGACACCCAAAGATAGACCGAACGTCAAAGCGACCTTGGGAAGCAGGAATCCACACCACAACAATTGACTACAACCTGTCTCCTCCTATTCAGATTATGTTGAGTCAAAATCTTCATAGCCTTCCACGGGAACGCATCCCCTGGAACCTCTGTGAGACACCCAAAGAAAGACCGAACGTCAAAGCGACCTTGGGAAGCAGGAATCCTCACCACAGAATCAGGAACTCTGTCCACAATCTCCTGGCGATACAACATAAGAGTCTTTATAGAGGCATAATCAGGTGAAAAAACCTAATAAACTGTAAAATGAGAAAATACAGGAATAATTCCAAGATAACCCGAAACATTGAACATGCTAAAATAATAAAATAAATATTTAACAGTAATTATGCAAAATCTCTAATCTATTTATCCTTACTTTTCCTCGGCCAGGCTTGGCCTGAATAGCAGAGCAAGTACAAGTATTAGTAGCATAACAAAAATGCGTTCCTCGTTGCATGTGTTCCTAAGAAAAGGAATTTGTCTACTTATCAAAAAAAAAGAAAAGAAAAAGAATTTGTCCATTTTTCAGGGTCTCAAAGGGACGTGGAAACACATAAGATGAAAATATTCTCGTTATGAACTGAGCAGGGCTAGTGTTTTTACAAAAAAATCTCTATCCAACCTTGTTGCAAGAGATCTTTTCTCAAGTCTGAACCGACTGATATTGAAGAATCAGCAGATGAGTTGTGGTTAGGAGGGGTGAGCATTCAAAAATATTTTTATTAAATTATGAAAAAAGGATATTTTTATTGACCAATCAGAATTATCTCCCAGGATGTATAATTGCCTCAAATGGTCCAATATGTATACATTACCCTAGTAGTTGTGAATCATATGCGGTTCAGGCTTGCGGTTGAGTTCGATCACTCTCTCCAAACACAGACAGACACACACTCCCACTTACTCCTCTGAGTTAAGATGTGGGCACTAGTGCAGCCTTATGTTACTTGCCTTTTTTTTCTTTCTAATTCCTTCTTTAGGATCACATAATTTACATTAGTAATTGTTTTTTGTTAGAGTTTCTCTTGGTAACATACTGCACCATGCTGGTCACGGAGCGCATATGATTTTAATTATACTTTTTTTGCTTGAGTTGCTTTACTGCATTGAAACATTTTGACTTGTTTATTTATTATAGCACGAGTTAACTGTTGATTCCTGAATTAGCAGTTAATTTTTCTGTTTTCTGCAATTGTGGCAGAGTTATTGATGTGTTAATATGTGCAGGGTTTGAAGGTGATTGACAATTCTGTGGAAAATTTTGCTTCAGGAGCATGGCAGGCACTAGGAAGTGCATGGAGAGGGGGTTCTAATTTGGTTCACAAGTATGTCTGCATTGCAGCTTTACTTTCCAAGATTTACTCTATTGACCATTCATTTTGCTCGCATCATTTATATAATAAATTTGAAGAGGGTATTTCTGTTGTGTTTTGAATAAGAATTAAGTTTGTACTTGTTGAGAGTCGTTAATTCCATTTTCCCGTGAGCTCATGATTGTTGTGAAAGGTAAAGTTATAATAGTGAGGATAAAGACATGAAAGATCAACTTGAGAAGAATATTTTTATATTAGAGTTCTTGGAGTTCTGTATCTTCACCGATGAGGATTTATTTTAGTGTTAAGCTTTACTTCAAGAAATAAAGAATTCCATCTTAGAAAAAACATTGCAGTTGCAAAGTGCAAAGTTCAAAACCTAAATTGTAAATTTTTTTAGGATGAGATAGATGTAATTTTTAAATCTAGATAGTGGTTACTCATTACTTCTCTTCTAACAACTTGTTTCAAACTTGTATAACTCTTAATTTTGTGTTCGAGAAGAAAGAAATGTCCTTTAATCTGAAACAAACACATAGAGACTCCGAGAATCTAAGAAAATAAATTAAGACACTATGAAAATTATGTTGGTAATCACGTTTGTTGGTTCATGTTGACAAATTATGATGAAACCTTTGAGCTGTATGAACTTGTAGAAACCTCACGTTAGCGTATGTACTGTGGCTTTGGGTCCTAAAGTGAAGTTCTCTATTTGTATAAAATACAATTTAAATTTGTGTTTCAATTTCTCTCGAAATAACTATATTTTCAATTTCTATTTTGGCCTTCCATTTAAAAAGATCTGTTCTACCACCTGTTGGTACCTAGGAAGCACGGACATGCCTAAAAGTGCAAAGAATCCGTGACACGCGATGGACATGCCTCGACACGTGTCGGACACACCAAAAAAATGTGTCCGAATATTTTATTTTTTCTTGAATATTCGGACACGCCTTGGACACGCATCCAACACACCATGGATATGTGTCCGACACACGTGTCCCATTCTTGGGGATTTTAAAGAAAGTTTTAGAAACAATGTTGAGTCGAAGTATAAATATTAGGAGTTGTTTAATAACTTTTAGCAATGTGATGGTAATTACATAATTACTTAAAAGTTGTTGTTTTATCAAACAATTTTATATTAAAACAATTAGATATTTATCCTTATATTTTAGTTCAAGGTTTGAACTCTTGCACGATCATCTTTGACTCTCTTGTTCTCCCACCAACCAAGCTTCGCTACCGGTGGATGGTCTCTCTATCTCTCTTCTCTTTTCTTTCTTCTTCTTCTTCATCCTCCTATTTTCTTTCTTCTTCTTGTTCTTCACAAATCCTAGATACTTCTTTTTTTCCTTTCACAACAAATTTCTTTTTGCGTTTCTTTTTCCCTTTTCCTCTATTCCCCATGAACTTTTTTCTCTTCTATGGATTCTTACGTTTAATTTTAACTAAGGACTAATTCTTATTCTAACAAAACCCTAATCCTCTCTTTTTATTTTTTTTTTTAATTTATTTATTTATTTATTTTTTTCCCCTCTTTCTTAACCCTCTTTCTATCATTCTTTCTTTTTCCCAGCAAAACACAATTTTTTTCCTTTCATTATGAGGTTTTACAAACTAATATTACTCTTAATTTCTTAAAGTATGACATCATATATATAAAATATATATTTATTATTGCCATGTCCCCGCCGTTTCCGTGTCCTAATTTTTCTGGATTTGCCGTGTTGCCGTATCCTTGTCATGTCTTGTCGTGTCGTATCGTATCCGTATCCCGCATCCGTTGCCGTGCTTCTTAGGTTGGTACTAAACTCTTCTTATTTGTGTTACATGGACTGTAGTATCAGGTTTGTCTTAGGTGCAGGATTTTTCTATTCTCCTTTTTGTTTTTTTGATAAGCAAATATATTGTAATGTTTATGAGCTAGGAAGCACGGACACTCCAAAATGGGCGAAGAATCCTTGTCCGACACGTGTCGGACAAACCAAAAAACGTGTTTGGAATTTTTATTTTTTTTAATTTTCGGACACGTCTCAGACACTCAGCGGACACGCGTCCGCCACGCCAGGGGTGTTTGTACGACACGCATGTCTTATTTTTGGGGGTCTAAAAGATAATTTTTGGAAGAAAATTGGGTTAAAGTATAAATATGTGAAGTTATTTAACAACTTTTACTCACTTATGTGGTCAGTACATAATAATTTTAAACTTATAAGGTTAATATGCAATTTTAGACAAAACAAATAGATATTTAAGGCCAGGCATTACACTATTACAGTAGATGAGTTACGATTTGTGTACTTTTTTCATTATGAGGTTGATGAAAAATAGTAACACTCAGTAATTTTTAAAGCACTACATCACATATATATATAATAAATATATATACTATTCATTGTGTCCCTGCCATGTCTTAATTTTTTTGGATTTGCCGTGTCACCGTGTCCGTGTCGTGTCGTATCCGTGTCCGTGCTTCTTAGTTTACGAGTGTCAGAGGGGGTGCAACTGCTTATGTGTGCAAACACATTAGTATATAAGAGCATGCTAGGCTTCTTCTGTAGAACTTAAATCACCAAAAAATATACAAAGCAGTAATGAGTGTGGGGTAGTACTATCCAGAGGATTATTATTATTATTATTTTTTCAATCTATGAATTGACAACTCCATATCCTCAAATGTGCATCTATTCCACTCCATCATGTGATTGTCTGTATGCCAATCTTGGCTAACACCTACCCCCGGGGCAACCTCCTGTTTAACATCTCATAAGATACCCTATGGGGGTAGGCATCATCTATTAGTTCCCGTACAAGGAGAATAAGCTTATTTAAGGACCCATCCTAGCAAACCAACAATTGACCCCCATATGTATACAATGCCTTCTCTCCTCCCCATCGTTTGCACTGTAGATTAAGTCAAGTTTTTTGACTAGGAGGCGATCGCTGCAGTATTGGTTCCCTACCCCCCATTCAACTGGCAGCCATCAATGACCGCCGCCTTGTATAGATTGGTTTTCGTTAAAACTATAAATTTCTCTTCCATTTTCTTATGCTCATTTTCCACTCAAAATGGTTACTGGACAGGAGTGGATGGTAGTCCCTTTGTCCCTTTGCATACACCAATCCCTTTGCATACACCAATTAGAGATTATTTTGTGCTTTGCTTTCCAGGTTATCCAAAGTCAAGATTGCCTTTAAGGTAACAGACTAGAAAAAAAGGACACCTTAGATGCATCTTAGCTTTCCAAATGGCTTTCCAAGAAAACCCATTGTTGACTCTGCTACAGTACGCTCTATAGAATGACGAGCTTTAAACATTCTGTGCTTGTCAGGAATCCATCTCTGAAATTTCCTATCTACTCAACCATTGAGTATAGGTGCCCACAAATCCTTGGGCCCAGTGACACTGCTGAAATTATTAAAATGTTCATCTTTTCAAAATCTCTGAATTAGGTTTTTGAAGTTTCTGTAATAAAGCTGCTTGTATATTATGAGATTTTACTCATTTGCCATATGTTTCCTATAGATAAATGTTATGACAAATGCCGCAAACCAAGAAACAAATGCCGTGAACCAAGAACAAATCAAGAATGAAGCAAAAAAGTAAAAATGCCACACACAAAGAACACAAAGATTTATGTGGGTCGGCATAAAGGCTGCATCCATGGTGAAGATCTGGCGAAATATTTCACTATACGAAAATCAGGAGATTACGAGTTTCAGCCCCCAAACCTTATCTCTCTCTCTTTTTCCTGTGGTTTTCAGTGCTCTTGTGTCCCGCTTCAAATCCTAAACGGCATTTTATAATGGGCTACGAAAGAGTCCTAAACAAGGTCCAAGACCCGCAAGAGAAAAATGGGTCAAAAAATTTGTTGGGTTTTGCCCAAACGATAAAGATTAAAAAGGTATATTATGGAACATATAGCTTTATTTAAGTGAGGAATGAATTTTTCATTTTCTCGGTTGGATGGTATAAATTTTGTTTTTTATTTTTTCTTCTTCTGATGGGTGTTTCAGTATCAATATAAATTATCTGTGTAGCTTAACTGGTAAGGACGAGTACCTCTAGCAGTTTGTTATATTGTTGACTGGAATGATGCCGTATCTCGGTCATTAATTTGGTTGGTTGAGAAGCAAACATAAAACCTTAGTACAGATTGATCATTTCATTATCATCATTATAATCCTTGCCTTTGTCCCATATGAATAAGGTGGGCCACATGAATTCTCTTTTTTTCACTCTTTCCTATTATATACCATGTCTCCTCTAATATATAATTTAAAAAAATCATTTTTAATTACTTCATTCCGTGCAAGTTTTTGTTGGCCTCTTTGATCATTTCAGGAAGTTAAATACAAGTTAAATTTGTTCTGTTTTGATTCACACATTCATATGAACTCCATGGTTATCTGTTAGTATCGTTGTCTTGAATAGTTTGTACCTGCTACTCATTTTCAATCTATATTTACACCGACTCTGAGCTCCATTGTATGTAATATCTGCTCTGGTCCAAGAGATTTGCATTATGTATTTCATACAATTAGTGGCTGGAATGTATGTAAGATGATTTTCCAATCAGTTGCTGTTCAGGTCCATGTTTTTTTGCTTTAGTCAATTCTTTCTGTGCTCCACAAGATATGCAAATTTGCCTGCTAATCATTACAATTTTGTATCTTTTATCTTAAGGCTTGAGCATTCTGCTACAAACCTCGCTGAATCTATTCAGCAAGGTGGTCTACCTGCGACAGCTGGTTCTGCTGCACCATCCTTATTAGAGGTTTGCATGACACTCGTGATATTGCTTTTTAATCTTTGTATGGTTGCTTATTTCTCTGCCTTTGTTTTACAGACTGGAAAAGCTTTTACTGCAAAGGGAATGCAAGTGCTTGAGCTTGTAGGTAAGGAGACCATGGATCTTCTGATCACAGAAACTGGTATCGAAGTAGAGAAGAATCAAAAGGAATCCGAAGAACATGTTGATGAAGATCAGTTGTTTGACGAAGTGACGTTTGATAGGTGTTTCTACATATATGGTGGTCCAGAACAGTTGGAGGTCAACTTTTTCTCCTTGGTTCAATTTTTTTTTTTTTTTAATGCGTTGCTGGTTCAAATGGCAATTTATTGAAGCTGTTAACTTGTATTGAATTTCAGGAACTGGAGGCATTATCCAACCATTATGCACTGTTATTCAACCGAAGAAAAGTGAAGCTATCATCTGAACAGAAGTCTTTTTATGACGGAAAGCTTAAACAGGTCCAGCAAATTTTCAGTTTGAGTTCTGAAATTGATGTAAGTTGCACAGAGTCTGAAAAAGGAAAGAAAATCGAGACTATAGCTGAGGGCAGCACTGATGAGATAAAGAATTTACATGATTTAAGTGTCAGTAAGGCTGCTGAAATGGCTGCAGGGTAATACTGATTCATATAATCTTATATATAACTATTTGCTAATTTTATTTTTTACCTTCAACTGGGAACTTTTCAGCTACTCTAAGTTGGTGCAACATGTGCTTTATTTGTGGTGGGGAAGGTGTTGGGGGTAGAAAATGCGGGTGTTGAATAGGTATCATTTAGGAAACATCACAGAGAACAGATAAATAAAATATAGAGCAGGAGACTCATAATTTTTTATGTGGAAAACACTAGATAAAAAAAAAAAAAAACCAACAAAATTTATAATCTCAGGCTAACCATTCCACTATGAAAAGAAACAAGTAGAACTTTGATTCTTTGACATGGACTTATACCTGACACTTGACGAGACATGGAACCTACAAGCCACATAAAACACCCATAATAGAACATTTCAAAAAAGTGTCAGTCATACATCTGAAATTAAGAATTTGATCTTTAAATATTTTACATGTCAAAGATTTATTAGACACATTTTTCAGAGTGTCGAAGAAGTGTTGACGTCTGATACATTTTTGGCACAACTCCTTATAAGTATCTATGGTTATTTTTTTAGGAATCCTATATATTTGGAGAGGCTTTCACTTTAGTTAATTCCAATTTGTACCCTGTGAATGGTTATTTTATTTTCTTTAACTTTCTGTTGACGACACTCTCTCATATATGTGCTTGTGTATACATTAATCTTTTTGTGCTATGGAGGTTAACCAATATAAGTGACATTTCCATAACACTTCTTCAGGGAAAATGAAAATTACATGAAAGCTCAGTTAGATGTTGATTTTAAAAGTTCAGTAAGGTGATGATTTTAGAAGTAATAATTGGTTGAATGTCAAAAGCTTATGGAGAAATTTTGTATGACAAATTTTATCTTCTTAAACGCAAATCTGCTGGTTTATTGTCTAAAGTGGGTTAGAGTGTTTTTAGATCAGGTCAATCTCAAAGTGTATAATTTAAAAAGTTTGTTTTTGAATGATTGAGTGTATGTTTAAAGGGATTGTTGCCTGTAATGAGAAAGTCTGAGTTAAATTTCGCTAATGGTAATGCTAATAGTAGTTTGTAAAATAATGAAAATAAATTAAATTATCTTACAATTTTGGATTTTGAGTATAAAGTTGACCAACATTTGAAAGTTCCTTTCCAAATGAAATGGCCATTGAGTGAAGCGAGGAGAACTATTAAGTTTGACCAAGCGAATTGGTCGTACACTTCAATGCTACTACCATTTCATGTTGGATTTAATATGGTTAATATAGGATGCTTTGAAGAAATGGTTTGAAATATATAATAATTGAGAATCTCCCTAGTCTTGTTAGGAGATTTTTGAGGTGATAATCGGTGCTTTTGCAACACTGAAGGATGGTGTATCACTTGTTGCCTCAAGGTGGGATGCATGAGTTCACTTACTAAATGAAATAAAGTGGTGCCTGAATTTCGTGAGACATGAGCATACTTTTTATATATAATAATGATAACGACTCTTTGAATTTTAATACTTGTAAAATCTAAAACAATGAATACAGACAGTGACTTATTTTTCATCTTTGATTGTGGCAAAAACCGACAAATTAACAAATTTTCTAGAATAAATGGTTAGCTATATGTGTTCCTCAATGGTTAAAATACACTGAATAAATTAATAATTTGTAAGTACTTGGCTAATGAGGCTTAACCTCTCTTATTGGTGTAAGCCTCATGCGATGTGTGGTTGTATTATTTTATGCCCTAAAACATATGGCAAACAATATGGAGCCAGTGGCACTTCACTGTTATGGACAAGGGCATTTTCGTGGTGGTTCACCTTGAGTTGTGCGTTCACACTTATGCTTCAAATGCCCTTTGAAATCACCGATTTTAACATATCTTGGTAGTGAGTTCTCTTTCATGAATGCAATTCATCTATCTGGAGGCAGATGGAGAGACAGCTTACTGGTTGTGCTTATCACACACTCTCTCTCTCTAATTCTAAAATAAGAATGGACCAAATCTTGAGAGTTGAGTGTTTGTCGAAGGGTAATTTTGGTGGTGGTTGTTTATCATCTTGGTAAGATTCCGGGGCTGTGGATTTTACTCCAAACTTCTGATGGAAATTTTGATTTTGAATAGTCTGAATTGAAAGAACGAAACCCATGATGTTTTATTCTCTCTTAATCTATCCTGGACATTGTCAACAGAAGCTTGGATATGTACCACAGTACCACTGTCCATTTCATAATATATGTTACTTTCAATGCTTGATTTATTGCAGCTTCACGAATGCTTTAGCAGGACTAAATGCAAATGACATAATTCAAAGAACTGCAGGGAGATTAGATTCTCTTCATTCAGAAGGGGTTCATGTAAGCTGATATTTTGATTTTTGTTGAAAATCATTTGATACCCTGATTTCAGTGTTAACAGTGGGTTTATAATTGATGTAATTGACATAAAGTTTATGCATGTTTATGCAGAGGCTTTCAGAGATGTGCTGTTTTGCTGTGTCTCAGCTTCTGATGCTTGGAAAATCCATCATATCCAGTGCAAACAAAGTTCAGGATGAAGATGTTGATGAAGATATGTTGAATATTGTTTGGCCTGAAGATTCTATTGAAAAAGCTAAGATAATCAGAACGAAGGCACAATCAATGACTGGGAATGTGGAAGCAGTCTCCAACAGTTTTATCACTGGTATGACTGTCTAGGCTTTCTTCTCCTTGGTTGTAATCCACTTCGTTTTAATTTGATCGATTGAAATGCTTTTTGCTTATGTTAAAAATATCTTCACCTTGGCTTATATTATATATGTGGATGGTGGCATAGCACATCGTTGTAAATCAAGTAGTTGTCCGAAATGGTGGGAACTGATTCCAAAAATCTGTATGATTTTGTGGGTGGCTCATATATCTTCTACTGTTTTCATTATGGTTAAGTAAATGATCAGTAATTAATTAGCCCTCCTTAGGATGGTGAAAATTTTAAAGCTTCTTCTTTCTTGCAATTATATTTTTGTTTCGTAGAATGCATAGATTTAGATCAGTGGCTGTTGCTTGTGAAGTAGTGAAAGTTTGGACTACGAAGTGTGAAAATACGGGTTTGAGTCTAAGTGAAGGCAGTTTATGCAAATAATTTAAATGGTGGGTCTATATTAATTTCATTTCTCCCAATGTCGTTCATTAATGGGGATAATAATACTGGGTAGTGATTGTGGATGCATGGACTTAGATAGGAAACCAAATAACTATGATTTTGGAATGCTATGAGAAATGCCATTAATATTTTTCTTTGTGGTGGCTTTTTTCTTGTGATCCGTCCTTTTTTTTTTTTGGTTCCCCATTGCCCCGTACCGGCTGCGACAACTTCCAGTCATTTTAGTGTTGCGATTTCTTGAAACGGCATAATGATTTGTTTGTGACTTCAGTCTATAGTTTTGAAAATTGGAATGATACTAAGTACTATTCTTGCATCTTGGCACGTAAGGAGGAACTTTCTCCTTACCGCTTATGTATGTGTCATGATCTCATTTGACCACGTGTTCTTTTATAACATTAAAAAGTAAATAAAAAAGGAAAGAAATAAAACCGTTTTATTTAGATGGGTCTAACTGAAACCAAATCTACTAATTTTGTCCTATCATATCATGACACGGCAGCTGTAAGGAGGTTTGTCCTCATGCATTGGGGGGCAAGTATTGTTCATGTACTAATGTATTTTACCTTGTTGCTGCATCAACCACTTGAAGAAAAGTGTGCATGAATGAAGCATGGAATACTTTTTGTATTGATGTGCCAATCATTTGTTACTCTGATTATTGTCTACACCAATTCACTTACCTATTAATTGAGAGTCCCTAAATTTAGGAGATGGAGTGATGGAGATCAGGATGGGACTCGAATGCGTGCGCTGCAACTGGGTCTAACTTGTGCATGGAGAGGGGGCAAGGAAAGATATATTTAGGATTGCCAATATCTTTAAATATTATATTTACGAGTTAATTTTATTTTTGTTATATATATATATATATATATATATATTAGCAATGATTTCTGTAGCTCAATAAGATTTAGGTTGACAAATTTTGCAGAAAAAATCTGGAATCTGCAACTTGTGTCTTTGATTCCTAGTTTAGTTAGAAATTTCAAGAGTTTATGTTAGTCGTTACCAATGCTCATGGTTGAAGATTGAATTGAAGTTGCATACAAGGGTAATCACATAATCTTCTATACCAAGGGTAGAAAAGTAATTTAACACTTGCATGTACTCACCAAACAAGGGCTCCATGTGTGCATGCATTAGGGTTTCTCAAATTTCATGATTTGATTGGATTTGATTTATAAATTCTCTTTTGATGTGCAAAGTGTTTGTGGAAACTTTCTTTTTGAAATTTTCTCTTTAAGAACTGCAGTGGACTTCAACCGATCGAGCTATCGATCAAGGGCCACTTGAGTTGTATCGTCCGATCAACCATCTCCTCAATTGATCGTGCCATGCGGAATTTTGTTTCCTCTTTTAATTAAAACACTATAAACTCTACTCTCTGTATATCTCTAATTTACTTATATAAACAATACTCCTAGGCAGAATATAATATACTGAGCAACAAAGAATACGTATCTAGAACATATACACGGCAAATCTGTGAGTTCTAGAGTGCATCACATTTTTATTTTCATTTATCGTTTTCAGTATTGCTGAGCGATTTTCATAGTATGTTTTTGAGTTCATTTGAAGTGTTTTAACACCATTATCAATCGAAGAGTTTGACTTGGATGACTAGTGGCTAATACTAATTCCTAGTGCGAGAAATAGATTTGTGAGGAGCGAAGTCTGTTGACTCGAGGATCGCTGCCTTGGAGACTCAAGGAGATTTTGGTGGATCGATTATGATTTAAATGTTAATTTCTGTTACATTTGTTTAAATTCAAAAAGTAGGTAAAATTAACAAATCCAACCAACAAGACCTATTCACCCCCCTCTAGCTCTAGATAAGGGCCTTGCGCAACTCAACTCTCTATTAGAGTCGCAGGTTCCGATCCTACAAACTTTTGATCCCTTTTAATTTGTAACTAGTGTTAGGTTTGCCTATAAATAAGGTGTTATGTAGTAGGGCACATAACTTTTGATGGTTATTGACTATTAATGAGAGATTACACAGATTTGCTTTCCCATCTTCTTTTCCTCTCTCATTCTGCATCGATTCTGGTATCAGACTAGCCTTATAGGTCTTGCATCAAATTGGTATTGGAGCGAAAGATCCAAATTCAGAGCAAAAGTTCCAAACAACCATTGTTCATTGTATTTTCTTCAACCCAAACTCTCTCTTCATAGCCAAAGGCCGAATCACCTTGTACGACAACCACTGTTTTCTCGTCGGATCCAAACAAACCCACTAAGTCACTATTTATCCTCTTTGTCTCCACCTAACCACAACCGAAAACCTCACACAATCCATCCCTATTTTCGATGCACATAAATCATATAAATAATCAAAGGACAACTTTGACTCAACTCTAGACTCAAACAATACAAAGCATTTCACCATATATGTATGTAAAACATGTAAACTAAAACTATAAGATTTTATTTATAATAAAATGTCAAATGCAAAGATAAATTGGCTTGAAGGGCACACTCAATCCCACCCGCAAGAACTATTCAGTACACTTCTACCTAGTATAAATGAAAATAATGTGGAAATTCAAATACTATTGTAGCAAGTACATGACAACTGTGTGCTTGCACTTCAACCTAACATCTGTTAGTTGACTGAGGAGAGCAGTTTGATTATATCTTCAGATTAAGAAACTTCAAATGGTGAATTGTTACCTCTTGAAGTGTATGAAAATAATAAAGATTGCATGAAAAATTGAGTTGAAGAGAGAACACTTGATGTGAGCCTACTGATTCTAAGTTCATGTTGGATGCATTCGTTGGGATCAGTACTGCTTTAATTCTTCGGGGGAGAGTTTTTCTCAGTCGGAGAGATTGATGGTGATCAAGATCAAGATGTGACCCTTGCGTATGAGCCACACATGAGTTTAACCCAAGGAAATATAGATTTTAGGGTTTTATATATTTTTTAGGAGTTATAATATTTAGGATTTATTTTTGTTTTCAGTATTGATATATTTTTGGCAGTGTTTCCTTTTAATTAGTAATTAGGGTTAGGTTTGCCTCTAAATAAAGACTTATGTAGTAGGGCACATAACTTTTGATGCTTATTGCCTATTGATTACAGAAAATTATACAGATATTCTTCTCCCTCTATTTCTTCTTCTCTGTGCTTGTTAGGATTATTAGGATTCTTGTAATTTGTTGGCAAATTTCGTAGGGCAAACATTACAATGAATTGTTTGGCAAATGGTCCAACATCTTCTAAAAAGGTCAAATATGTCATCTTCTCAAGTCCGAGGTAAAAAAGGTAAAAATCATACTTGATATCATCTATCACCATCTATGTTCATGCATACATAATTTACATGCATACATATTAGATTATCTTTATTTTTCTATTAAGCATTCATACATACTCTTTTGAGTGTTTTACTTTGTTTACTTATCCATGAGAAGTTCTGTGTGAGAGTCCATCTTGTGAGATTAGAGCGCATATACAAAGATAATAACTGCATATCTATTGTGTTGGGTATGAAGATTTGGTGTCTTGTTAAGTCTGGAGGTTAACTAGAGTTCATAGGGTTGAACGGATCTGGTTGTAATCTCTTTTTTCATTGTGGATTGCTTGGCCGGACCAAGTTCTGTGGTTCTTTGACTTACCGTTGGGGTAAGATCTTCCCCAAAAAATCTGGGCATCAACATGACCATTAAGGGTATTGAATGTATTTCGGTCAATAGGCAAGCAAGCATGTGAAAACACGCTTGGCCAACACAAAAAATTGTGCAAACACCGCGTATAAAACACAACCGTCTTCAACCTTTCAAACGACACTATTTTTCAAACCAGTCAGTCATTGTTGAACCAGTGAGCTTACTAATCTCATTAATGGCTGCCTATTTCACATATAAAACATGAAAAAAATACCTACTCCTTCACTTTTCAACCTACACTTTATTTTTTTCCTGTCATCAGCAGTGTCTGGCAGGCGCCATGAAGGATCCGACTCATATCCAGTTTCTGTGTCGTGTCATGTCTACAAGGACATTTCGGCCTGCACCGGCAAGTCCAGGTAACACAGGATGATGGATTGAATTAGTCAAAGTTGGTTGAACGGAAGGATAAATATTTGACTAGCACATGTGACCTTTATTATTTAAGTTTCACATGAAATTAAAATTATGGATCACTAGCGGTTTGCACGTGTCTTCATATTCATGCACAATTGGACCTTAAAAATTATGGATCTTCATGGACGTTTGCGGTTGACCTCTTGATAGCTTTTTTCCTTGTGGTTCAGAACAATATTATTATGCTAATTTAACTTTTAAGGTTAGCTTATTGTAACTGATTGTTTTTTGGTTATGTTGATGATATAATTCTCTCAACGGAATGGAGAAAAAAGAAATGATCCAGTTGGGAAAATGTTAAGATTGATGTAGTTGGGAAAATGTTATGTTTGTTCTTGATGTTGTAGATGATTATGGTTCACATGCATGCATGCTATATTTCATATAAAAATAATGGTGTACATCGTGCACACACGAATGTGCAAACGTGCACATAGTGCTGCGGCCTTGCCTAGTCTGTGATTATGTCTTGTGTTCGAATGAGAAACTTGTTCCTTTAGTTAGTTTGTTCTGGGTTCACAAGTAATGAATGGAACTGTGTCAAGTACTAGATTGTGGTAATTCTAGATACACAGGCAATTACTTTGTTTGAACATTCATCTTAAATTATCCATGAGTAGGGAAAATTTTCAAGTGATAATTAATGGTTAGAATGTTAAATACTTCTTGCTAAATATGCTTCATGCTTGCAGGAATCCTATGTTGTGATATTGACCTGAAGTAGATATTTTTAGCCTTGTAGTATTTGTAGTTTTATCTTGTTCTTGTGAATTTAGCTATATTCGACATAATGAATTAAAAAAAAAAAAAAAAAGGTTCTAGCAATTGGATTGTTAGCATGCACTTTTATTTATAGACCGCGGAGGCTGAAAAAATTTAGGTGTGAAAAGAGTTCAGTTAGATTTAGAAACTGCCTTCTGCAGAATTTGATCTATCAAGTCCAGACCTAGTCAATTGATCCTTTGATCAATCGAACTCCCAGTGTCAGTTTTTTTTTCGTTTTTCTAGTTGGTACTCACACACACTTGTCTCTTCTGAGATTTGAACCCCTGACCTCCCTTTGAGAAGTAAGAGGCTGATACCGCTAGGCCACTGGTCCGTTGGTAACTCCCAGTGTTAGTTTTAATAGGATTTGACTTTCCAAAGACGTATTATGTAATTCTAAAACACGTATTTTTATGGATCAAAACATAAAAGTTAAAAATACTAACATGTTTAACAATTTGAATGAATGTGTATGCACCCTAAATTAGTGAGTGCACATTAGTGAGAGTTGAATTCACCTTTTTGCTCTTGTTGAAGTTTTGAATTCTCCGATTTGTTCTTTACAGAGGTAACTCAACTAATGTACCTAACTTTTAAAAAGTTAACAACTAAAACTAAAAATTATGGACTCCATGTTGTACGAAATTTGCCAACTGAAGTCCTACTGACCTAGCATTCCTAGCATGGATAATACCGACTGTCTAGAAACTTAATTACCTTAAACAGGCAACTGTTTTTGTTTTTGGGATTATCATTATGCAATTATTATATACTGTTTTTGTTAATTTATTTTTTTATTTTTTATTTTTTTCTATAATTATAAATGCAGGGAGGTTTATATGACATCAAAAGATATTTTAGTTGATGGTCTTGGTTTCAATCTATCGTTCAGGAATATCCGATGTAGCTGAAGCTTACCTAGCAGCCATAAAAGGTGCTACTGCTGATTCTGATGAAGTTCTTCAACAGAAGTCAATCCAGGAAAAAGCCGGTGCCTTCTCTGAAAATCTTCGCACTGATCGGACTACAGCTGTGGGCAAAATTCAGGATGGGCTGCAATATTTGTCTTATGTAGTTCTTTCGACCTCGATGCCTGCTGCTTGAGAGACCTTGAGAAATTCTCAAGTTCTCTATCTGTAAATAGTTGCATTCTAAGATGGGAGTTTAACCCTAATGTCGGTCCAAACTCTGCTCTATTACTGTGTTTGGACTCTTCCAATAAATGGAAGAAACACGAGCCTCTTCTTAATCTCTGCTGTTGGTGGGAAAATACATATACCTTTCTTAAACTTTGTAACACACTTTTTTCACGATCTTTTCTTTTCTTTTCTTTGGAGTTAATAGACTTGTCATGCATTATAAAGGGCGATTCTGTGGGGGTATTTGTGTATTTTCAACTCCTAGACTCTGTAAGATGGTGATCAGATTATTCATGTTGAAACAAACACCATACACTCCCTATTTTCCAAAAACTAGATTCTTTTTTGGAACTCTTTTAATTTCATAAACTAAAAAATGAAACAAACATTATACAGTCCCTACTTTCCAAAAATCAGACTCTTTTGTGGAACTCTTTTAATTTTATAAATTAAAAAATGTAGAGATTTACAATTTTTTTTTTTTTTTTTAGGCAAGAAGTGATGTTAAATTAATATATATAAAGAGACGATACTTTCAGATTCACGGGAGATATTAATTCACTTTGTCGACACAATTACATAAAAAAAAAAAAAAAAAAAAAAATTGAAATCCAAGAAGACACAATATTGTGTCTTGTTTTTTCAGAAAGTACAATTATATATATATATTGAAAGTATGAAGTCAGCACTACCTACTCTACCATTAATCACATTTGAAAACGAGTAATCCAAATAAATATTTTACAAAATGTTATTTTTTTTATTTCTATTTCTTCTAGAAACCTAATTTTAAATCTCTAGTCAAAATAATAACATAAAAATAATGATTTACCCATCAATCACTGCCCCATTAGATTTATTTATATATTTCTATTTTCCACTATTGGCTCATTAGATTACATCACTAAAAAGCTTGATAGGCCATATAAAAAATTCAACTGGAAGTGATGATGATGATCTTAGAATTAGAGAAGAAAAAGATGGAGGAAACTAGGAAGAAGCAGTTGATGATGTCACTGATGATATCCTCCATTTTCATCTCTATTTTCTTCCCATTTGGAAATGCAGCAAACTTTGTCCTAATTCATGGGTCTTGCCATGGTGGCTGGTCTTGGTACAAGCTTGTTGCACTTATAAGATCATCGTCATCAGCAACAGGAGGAGACCACCACCACAAGGTCACAGCCCTTGATTTGGCGGCGTCCGGGATTGACCCGAAACAGGTGGATGATATCCCATCAATTTCTGATTACTTTAAGCCCCTCAGGGACTTCATGGTTGCTCTTCCTCTGCATGAGAGAGTGATCATGGTAGGACATAGCTTCGGTGGTTTGGCTATTTCTCAAGCCATGGAGACTTTTCCTCACAAAATTTCGGTGGCCGTGTTTGTCGCTGCCTTGATGCCTGGGCCCACTCTCAACATTTCTACCCTCAATCAAGAGGTACGTAAATTTTATATTTGAATAGTAATGATTTTGGATTCCGAAAATTTCAACTTATTTATTTATTTTTATTTTTTATTGGAAGTTAAAAGCAATTACTCACACACTCTACCTCCACCGAGGTTCGAACTCCCGACCTCCCTTTTGGGAAGGAAGGGGTGATATCGCTGGGCCAATTAGTCATTTTATGTTATTTATGTTAGTGGGATATATCTAACATCATTAGAGGTGGACAAATAATTCGCGAATTCGATCATTAGGGGTGGGCAAATAATTCGCGAATTCGATCCGGTCAAATCGGATCTATGCGGATCGGATCGGATTGCTACACGCATTGATCGGTGACGGATTAAAAAAAATTTGAATCCGTAACTCACGGATTGGATCACGAATTGGATTGTTAAAAATTCGATCCTATTAGTAAGTCCGATCCATGATATTTATATATATATATTATCATTTAATGAATTCTAAAAATATATTAGTTAATGATCATTTAAACATAATATGAATTTAAATGTTTTGAGAGAAACACCTACAATATAGGTAGCAAAGCTTTGATGTCAAAGTCAATTAGGAGAAAATGTATTACCATCCTTTATACTATAGTGGTAAAATAACTTAAAAATTACTGTCTCATTTTGTTGGTTTTCTTTAGTTATTATATAGGAAGTATGGATACTTCTATGAGGGCGACGTACTCTTATCAAATACGTGTTGGATATCGATACTCCTCAGATACTCGCGGATACGTGTCCGATACTTTTTAAACGTATCCATAATTTAAACTATATATTTTAATTTCTAACATGCATCCGATACTTTTTAAATACTTTGACTACATATGTAATACTTGTTAAAACTTCATAACACATTTTTTACAAGTTTTAAACATTAAAATGTAACTATTCCAACAATAGTTTCATACTAGAAGTGTTAAGAAAAGTTCAAATTTTATTAAGTAATGACTAGGTCCGCTTGTTTCACGTATCATATCATGCTTCCTAGTTTATTATGGAATTAGAGTTCAATTTCTTGATTATAATTCTTTTTTCATCTTTTTAATTTTTTGGATAAATTACACACCCCCCCCCCTAAGGTTAGGTCTTATCTCACTTAGATATGAAGATTTTGGTTTTAACTTTTACTCGAGTGATTATGTATTTCACTTACACCCCAAATGTCAGTTTTTGATGATGTCAGAGTACTTTTAGGTATAAAATGACTATGCTTCCCTTTTGACTTTGTATTGACTTTGTTTCATATATAAAATGATTTAATTACCCCCAACGCCCATTTGAAATGACCAAAATGTTCTATAATTTAATCCCCAAATCAAAAATTGAACAGTGTATTTGGAGAGACCAAATCACCATCGGTTATGGAGTTTTGGCGGTTGTGGTTGTGGGGGTAGGGATGTTGGTGGTGGTTTTGTTGTGTAGATGTGGTGGTTAGTTGTTGCAGTGGTTGTGGGTGAAGATGGTGATGGTTGACTTTCGGTGGGCTTTGTTGCGTTAAGTGGGCGTGATGTTATCATGACATTAGTAATATCTTTGACATCATTTGGGGGTGGGCAAATAATCGACGAATTCGATCCGATTCTTTATTAGTAATATTTCTGACATCATTAGGGGTGGACAAATAATTCGCGAATCCGATTGGATTGATATTATCATGACATTAGTAATATCTTTGACATCATTTGGGGGTGGGCAAATAATCGACGAATTCGATCCGATTCTTTATTAGTAATATTTCTGACATCATTAGGGGTGGACAAATAATTCGAGAATCTGATTGGATCCAATCCAATCGGATCGAATTACTACATGCACGGATCGGTGACGAATTAAAAAAAAAAAAAAAATTGAATCCGTAACTTAAGGATCGGATCACGGATTGGATTGTTAAAAATCTGATCCTATTCGTGAGTCCAATCCATGATATATATATATATATATATATATATATATATATATATATATATATATATATATTCAAAGAATGAATGAATTTAATTAGTTAATTATCATTTAATGAATTCTAAGAATGTATTAGTTAATGATCATTTAACCATAATATGAAGTTAAATTTTTTGAGAGAAACGCTTACAATGTAGGTAGCAAAGCTTTGATATCAAACTCAATTAGAAGAAAATGTATCACCATCCTTTATACTGTAGTGGCAAAATAATTTAAAAATTACTGTCTCATTTTGCTGGTTTTCTCTAACTATTATCTAGGAAGTACGGATACTTCTACGAGGGCGACGTACCCGTATTGGATACGTGTCGAATACCGATACTCCTCGGATACTCGCGGATACGTGTCCGATACTTCTTAACCGTATTCATAATTTTAAACTATATATTTTAATTTCTAACACGCATTCGATACTTTTTAAATATTTCGACTACATATTTAGTACTTATCAATATACATATGAGTTACAGTTTTCAAAGGACACTTAATTTGGGACGGAAGAAGTAATAATAAAAAAGACAATGAATTCTTGAAAGTACATATATTTAAAAAATTGGTTTGTGGTCCGACCAAAATTAGTTGGGAAAGGACAACAAAAGTACTGCCCCTTAATTTTCTTTTTTCACTAATGATCTGTTTTTTATTAAAGTCATTCAGGAGACAAACTTCTCTACTAGATAGCCATTACACGTATGGCAACGGAAAAAACAACCCTCCAAAAGCTTTCATTTTTGGTCCTCAATACCTAGCAGCAGATGTTTATCAACTCAGCCCAACTGAGGTGAGTATAACTATATGCATTACAACCAACATAATGCACGTCTTCATAAAATTATAAATACACACACACACACACACACACACCTAGCAGCAGATGTTTATCAACTCAGCCCAACTGAGGTGAGTATAAATATATGCATTACAACCAACATAATGCACGTCTTCATAAAATTATAAACACACACAGAGGGACGGATCCGTGAAGGGCTCAGTTGGGGGTATCCGCCCCACTAAAATTTTTTATTATTGCAAATTACATCCCTAAATTTATATTTTTTTACATTTATACTTATGAAATTATGAAAAAACCCTTTTATATAAATTTGTCCTCCATATGAATTCCTAAATCCGTCCCTGCACCCATATAAAATTTTCATCTTATACGTCATTTTGATAAGTGGATGATGTGACCCTTTTGTGCATTGACGATCACATTGGGATTTAAGTTAGAGTTCTTCTCTGATACCAATTTGGCGCACTTGTAACAGGATTTGGGTTTGGCAACTATACTGATGAGACCGCTACGTTTGTACACTGAAGAGGACATGTCAAAGGAGCTCCGATTATCGAGTAAGAAGTATGGGTCGGTTAGGCGAGTGTTCATCTTGTCCGATAAAGATAGGGTGGGAAAGAAGGATTTTCAACGGTGGATGATAAAGAAAAATCCTCCCGATGAAGTGAAAGAGGTCGCTTGTTCCGATCATATGGTCATGATGTCTAAGCCAGCTGAGCTTTGGGCTCTTCTTCAGGACATTGCAGAAAAGTATTCTTGATTATTAACATAGTGTTTGATTCTTACGGATAAATAAATCTTGTAATACAAACTCTTTGATTTCGAAATCAATACATGGGAAGAAATAGCAATCGATCTGTAATTAAAGATTATTGTAATCAAAAGTTCAAAACTTAATGACATTTTAGTAAGTTAGATTAATTATGATGCATGAGATGAGATTGGTGAGCTTTTCTCATTTAAGAATATGATTAATTTTACTAACATCCCCTCAGGTTTGGCTAAATATCAAGTCTCAAAAATTTATGATAAACAGATCCATTTTGCAACCCTTTAGTTCGATAGAAACTAAATGGTTAGTTTGACAAATTCAAAGGGTGATTAAGTCATTTTACATCGTGTTAGAACTGTTCAACTAAAGGTTGGAGTGTTAGTGAAAAACGAAGCAAAAGTTTGTGATTTGAGTGATAATTATTTTCGAAAGATATTTGAAGGTGATATTTTGCCAAATCTGAGGGGGTGTTAGTGAAATTAACTCTTAAGAATAAGTGTTATCATACATTGTAAGTACTTTTTGGCAAATTTCAAAGGACAAACCCTTTGGTCATAGCAGAAAATACAAAACAACAAAAATTAGGATTACTTTTTTGGTAAATTTTTATAGGACTTTTAGTTACATGATTTCAATTCTCGGGCGTAGTGTATTTGATCAAAAACCAAAATCTCAATTGATAATATTTTAATTGAATACAATTACAACTGTCTTTGATGGGTTTGCATATTTTGAAAGCGCTGCATAATTAGCCTCATTAACTATGACACTAAATATAACTTTTTCTATATATACAACCAAGTTATTATTCATTAATTGATCTCCCATTCAATTACATCGTGGCAATCGCGATTGGTAAGATCAATGCTAAAGTCACAAGCAAATAAATCAATGATGAACAATTTTTTTTTTTCTTTTCCGTCTCACCAATTCTTTTTGTCAGAGCGGGAATCCATTTCAATCCTTCAAAGCTACTACAAGAAGACACATTAAGAAAATAAGTCTTAAGTTGATCACCAATTTTTGTAAGCTTACTTACAGAAAATTATTTTTGGGTAAAATTTAGTAAAGTGAGTTAGTTTTTTCTTGTCAAAAGCAACAAATGAATCATCCAGAGATAAACATGTCACACAAAGAAGTAACTTAGTATTTGCCTCAGTGGATGACGACTATTTAGCTCTTGAAGTTGTATATTTATGGCTGACTAAAATAACCCAACACGTTAATAATGGAAGTTTGTGATTTCTTGCGAATTACGTTGTAGTCGTCCTCAAGTTAAGTATATATCATCCATGTTGGGAACATCTCTGAGGACTGGTTTTCTTTTTCCATTTTTTTTTATTTTTTTTATTTTTTCATGTTCAGGTCATGTGGGCCGGGTCGAGTCAAGTGTTCGGGAATAGTTCACGACACTTCATTTATTTCATTTGGGGCATTATCATACATTGTGGGGTTTATTTTACACATGGGCATTTAGTAAGATTAGTGGGCCCTATTGTTGACTAGATTATATGGAGGAGGATGAATCTAGCATTGTATGCTATGTATATTTGTGTGTATATAAAGGGAAAGTGTGAGAGCAAGCCAAACCTACCCACTCCTTTTTCCTTTTTCCATCTGGTCTTCTTTCTTCTCTCTTTCCTCACCTCCATTTTCTTCACCTTCTTCAAGCTTCATGCTCCATTCCACCTTGCTTTATTGATTTTCAAGCTTAACCATAGAAGGGAAAAAGCACGGGGACTACGGTAGCTATATAACCCCTTAAACATTTTTGGATTTGGAGTTCTTTATTGGAGTGTCTAAGGTTTGCTCATAGATTTGAGGTAGGGGTGTAGTATGTTGATAAACTAGATTCTCCTTTTGTTTTATTAATATATTATATGTGATTCATGCATTGAGTGAGCGTGAGTGATTTTCATACACATTTGTGGTTGACCTAGTTTTCAAATGTTTCTTATATTGTCCAATGTTGATGAATTTCATGTTTATAATGCTCATTTAATTTACGACCATGATTACATTGTATATATTTATTTTACATATATGTGTTATATGTAATTTCCTGACATGAGATCAAATGTATGAGTTGTGTTCATGTTTGTGAGCCTTTGATTCTATTACATGACTATATTATTATTTATGTCGCTTAGTATACTCAGTGTTGATGAAATGTCCATATTTTAAGAATTTCATTGCTATACTCATATGTTATTTCATTTGATATTCATGCCATGTTTGTACATTGGGACACTAGGACGTGAATTGCTTAGATAACATCACTTAATTGTGTTTCTGAAATGTTGTATATGATCATTGATGTATATGGATACATGGTAGATTGTTTGATGATTTTTAGGAGATCCTAGAGACTTTGTTACTTTGAGAATGAGAGGGATTGGCGCTCGCAGGTAAAACATGAGTTTTCTCAACTTTATAGTGGTCACTAGGGTTGTTACTTACGGATTTGTAATCCGAAAAAAACTTCTTTTACTGGTTCATGCAGTAGGTATGTTCGTGGGTATACCCATTATATGATTTCAGATCTTATTTTCAAGTTGGCATCTACATGTAGTTGTAACTTGTGGTGTATCTAGATAGACTTTAATTATTACATATATATTCACTTGAAATGGAGATGTTATAGATATTTGTTCAATAGTAGTTCTAAGATGTTTCCTTAAGACTACCATCGGACTAGACGTTAGGGGGCATGTACCATGTATTGCATGGCATATACTATACTTATAGAGTCCGAAAGAACTTTGTAGTTTTCATAATGCATTCATACTGAGCCATCGTGCTCACCCTATTACATTTACGTTTTTTAGGTAAAGGCATCAACATTGAAGATCCTTCACATCCTTAGTTCATGTGGAACTCTTATTACATTTTAAAACTTTTGGATATTGTTTTCATGCTACGTGTGAAACATGTTCGGATTGTAATATGACTTGAATATATATATTTAGGATATATGATATCTTAGTAATTGTATGGATGTTTGGTTTTGGGAAAAGTACAGGTAATGAGGTAATGAGGCCATTTTAATGTTAATGTATGTTTCCTTAGCATCGTATCATTTTCATGCATAATGTATGTTGGGGATGGACACTAGTATGATGGGTTGGGAGAGTGCCTCCTCGACATTATTTTTGGACTTAGAAATTTAAGGGAGATGCATTGCATCAATGATATTTTGTTCATATCATCATTCTTGGCCATTAAAAGACTTAAATGCGTGTTTTAGGGCATACTTTGAGCATTCGTGTTATCCTAGGAGGTGCCCAAGGCCTTAAGTACTCGAAACATGACTTTATGATGCATTTAGACACCCTACGATCGATCGCAGAACACCATACAATTGATTGCAGGACTCCCTACAATCGATCACACCTTTTTCGGACGCCATATAATCGATTGCAGGACTCTCTATAATCGATCACAATAGAAACTTAAGTTTCCTACGATCGATCGTAGTTGCCCTACGATCGATCGCACCTACTGTTCACATCATTGTTTAGCTAACTTCATTCGGCCATAACTTGCTAATTTTAAATCTAAATGAGGTAATTCTTGTGCTCAAATTGACTGGCTTGAAACCATATTTCCAGTGGTACCAGTACCATCCCAAAATTCCAAACATGGAGTGATTTATGACCATTTTAGTGAGAACTAGTCATATTTTTCGTATGTTAAAAAAATCGATTTGTAGCGAAACCATTCCCATATGACCTAGAACCTCATATAATGTTTATAAATGTTTGGTATGGCATAAATAGTCCCATTTGGTACTTTATATTTGGTCACATTAGCTATGTGCGCTAATATGGTTTTCAGCTTCTGCATTTTTTACTCGGGTTTTGGGTCAGGTTTGGATCTTCTTTGTTAATGCAACAGATCATGGGATTTGGGACGTTACAACATCAATTCCATGTTTTTCACAAAAGGAAGAAAGTTGATCAATTAAAGAATCACATCTTAGGAAAATGGGTTTTAAAATATTTTTTGGAAGCGTGAAACTGATTCAGAACCTGGATGATATGAAAAGACAACATCTGATATGAACATATATGATATATAAAACGCGCGCGCACACATACACACACACATATACATATTATGGGTGACAATATTTGGCACGACACGCTAACACGACATGAACACGACACGAGATAAGAAGGTTTGGGTTTGGGTTAATCGTGTCCGTGTCGTAATCATGTTGACACGGATTGACCTGTTAACTAAACGTGTCGTGTTCATGTTTGACCCTTCTAACATGACTATGACACGATTAACCCGATTAACTAAACGTGTCAGATAAATGTGTCGTATTCGTATAAAAAAATGACCTATTTTGCTAAACGTGTAGAATAAATGTGTCGTATTTGTGTCAAAAATGACTTAAACGTGTCTTTTCGTATCATTTCATGCCGTGACAAGTCTTAACCCATTTATTAAACATGTTAGGCGTGTCGTGTCGTGTTACACGTATAATAATTGTATCGTGTTCGTGTCAAGGAGTTTTGACACGATTAATAATCGTGTCGACTCTAATCGTGTTCGTGTCATAATCGTGTTGACACGAACACGGCCGTCAACACGAATTGCCACCCCTAATATATATATATATATATATATATATATATATATATATATATAAAGATTGAGAATCATATACCTAAGAGATTTGAAAAAATCTCTTCAACAATGGAGATGCTTAGAGCTTTGATCTTGAAGCTCTCATTCCTCTTTCTTTATGGAATGCATTTTGCCCTTTAGAATCATTCCTATGACCCTTGTGATGGAAAAACCTAAGCTTGGTTTGTGGGAACCATCTGAGATATAACAGTCAAAGATTCTAATGTTTTTTAAGAGAAAATAAATAAATAAATAAATAAAAATATATATATATATATCACTACTTTTTTAATTTACAAAAATCAAAATAAAATAAAGGAGTGGATAAGAGTACTCGCTTAAAGACTTCTTGGATTGGTCAAAGTATTTTTTTCTCCAAAAATGTTATTTTCCAATCTCTAGCTTAAAACATCACCTTGGGTTAGGAATGGGGTCCATTGGGCCTATTTTCTTCATGGCTCCAATGGGCTAATAATTGACCC